GCAGGAAACAGCACGGATCCCAAACCATGTCATTTTTCTCTAGAAGAGGAAGGATAGCCATCCTGTCTTACTGTTGCCATGTAATGTCTGCTTTTGCTAGTAACATTACTTAGTCTTTGGACTTCCAGATTGTTTTCTAGCAAACCAATTATAATTTGACATGTAATACGTACCTGATGGCTAATCCTTTCCTTATATTAGCATCAATTTTACTATATTCCTCTTCAACTTTCTAGATTAATCCACCTCTGCCTACTTTTAAAGAAGCATTCTCTTCCATTTGGTGCCCTGCCAGCAGCACAGGCAGTTCTGACACCATCTCATTTCTTTTCCTGGCATGTGCCGAGCAGCAGAAACATCTCCTCTTCTCCTTCAGCAGGCCGAGTTTGTGTTCTCAGTTTCTCTTCTAGAACCTCCCACCCAGATGGCCCACAGATGAGCTTCTGTGGAACAATAAAGTGTTTTTGTCAACCTGCCAGATGTCTCAAGTCATTCTGGACTAGAATTCCATGCTGTGGCTAAAGTTCTTTCACTGCTCTCACAGAAAAGTTAAAAAAAAAAAAAAACAACCCAAAAAACGTACTGACTATTTAGTAACCGGCTATCTATAGCAAGAGTAGCAGTTATGCCCAGTGATTATTTCATATACCTTTTTTACCTCAACAGGTATACAGTACAGCAAGAACAGTCCCTGACTCACTGAAGGCCAAAGAACTACCAAGGGACAGTTTAAAATAAATAAATAAAAAAAAAGAGTTAGGAATGAACGGCTTGGAACACATGAAATAGCAGTTTCAGATGATCCTTATCACAAACTATTACCGTTTGGAGAACAATCTTCAACCTACCGTAACAACTTTGTCATACCACATTGATGTAAGAAAGCCTTTCACCAGATTCAACTAAATCTTGTATGTGCAGATGCCCCAACAGTCACAGGTCGATGTGCCCTGACTGAGCAAATCCCTTCCCATATCCATGGGATATATCCATTCCTATATCCTATATCCATATGACCATGGGCATGGTCAACAGCTGTTGTGCACCAGTTCATGAGCACAAGACATTGAAGAAAACCCACTCAGAGGCTGTCTAACAGCTTCCAATCTAGAAACCAACAGCTAAAATTGAAGCAATGCCTCACACGGCCCCATCCCAAGCACCTTCACAAAACAGTTGTTCTTACTCTGGAAACACCGGGTAACTCACGTTAGCTTTTCCACCACAGCTACCTACCTCATAGTTTTCTCGTATCCACAGCTGCCGTTCAAGAAAGGTCTCTTTCTGATGATCTTCTAGGCTGTCAAACTGAGACTGAGACATTTTCATGTACCTTCGTATGATATACAGCTTCTCTTCCACACCATACTCTTGCCCTTTAATAGTGAAACAGTAAATCCACCAACAGTACCAAACTATGTATTTGCACAGATAAAAGGGAGCGAGGAGGATCTGAAACAGAAGGATATCGTATATCTTGGGCTTCTGATAACCGCCTTTTATATCTATTTTATTTTTAATAATGTCTTTGATGATTTCTTCCTCTTCTTCACGGATTTCCTCTTTAGACCGCCTGTTCTTCCCTTTTTCTTTAGTTTTGTTGAGTAAACCTTGTTGCCTGGCAATCTCAGTAGCTTGTATACGGTATTTTGGCACTGTAGCTAGGTAGTTGATAGCTTCGTTGTAACTACTCCACCAGCTGAAGAACTGCAATTGAAGAGCAATAAAAATAAAATATATATTTTTATACAGACACATTTGTATTTGGAGGTTTGACAGGGAAAAAATAATGCTGTCAGACACCTTTAAGCACAATTACATTACAGCAAGGGTAAATACCGAAACCAACAGTACTTCTTCTACAGAAGTACAGAAGCTATAATTATCCCTCCAAACTTAGTAAGGCACCTGGAAATAGATGTATAGATGTGTATTTCACAGCCTTTATATATACAGTGACGCAGGAGGACAAGGAGACACTGTTCAGATTGGTTAATCTCCTGAAGGTTAATGCTAGGCTGTGCCGGCCACTCTCAGAAGCCCCCGTGGAGTTATAAAGAAAGTAGCTGGTATATGAACATTTAATTGTAAAAGTGTTACCCACTTAAGATCGTTATTTAAAGCATGTGATGATCTCATCAGTCTGACAAGATTCACTTTAGAAGATTCAACATCCCTCTCCAATCTCTAGCTACTCTCTGAATTTCAATTGGGAAAAAAAAAAAAAACAAAAACCAAACAACAAACCAGGAATATAATGCCTGGAGTGAACGTGTCTTATTGGGGCAACTTTTATTTTCTTTAAAAAAGGCAGCATTTCACACCTTTTACCAAGACAAAGGGCAGACATGTACATATTATACAACCTTAACAAAGGCCAAGAAGCAGGAAAAACAGAAAGAAAGAGAGAGATAGATCAGTTTACACGAGACGTTTACACTGAATTTGCTATCATCTGGCAGCTGGACTGCAGGAAAGTATCTCCACTTACTGGCAAAACAAGAAATAAGAGGTGAAATGAAACTCTGCCACTGGAAGTAAGTCTGAAGAGAAATTATTTGGCTACATACACCATTGGAATTTATTATTCCAAGCTCTCAAATTCTGATCAACATATTTTTGTTTTAACTTCCAACACCTCACTAAAAAGTGAGCTATCTGCACCACAGAACAAGCTGTATCTTTATCTCTTAAACTTTCTAGGCATTTTTAATGACATTTTGAAACAGTAATCTAATGGATGCTAAAGGAAACAGTTAGGCAACTTCTTCCATCTTAATATTTGTCAGCAATAGCACAAGCATTCTCATCTGAAACACAGGCTGTTTTCTTGACCTTGGAACTACCGCCTTCAGAGCAAACTCTTCGGTGAATCGAACTCACTTCTATCCTGACTTCACTGTGGTGTCTGAAATACACTGCAATGTAAGATTCATACGTTAGTAAACTCCTGATATTCAGTCTGAACTGAGCCTTGACTTTAGTTTGCAATAGTGTGTTGTCTGAAAAATGACTTATGCAGCTTGACAAACTGACACACGCTTATTTGGAGCACTAGTCCTGTGTGTGCTCAGGAGTGGGCTACTCTCAGCCTGCCATGAATTAAGTACTTTAGAAAACCTGCACTTGTCTCTGTGAAATATCCTACCATTAAACTAAACTAATCTCTGCCTTCGTCCAAGGTACCAAGGGCAGTCAAAAATCTGCTCAGGCGGAGCCAGCTTCAGATTTGTTACAGACACGACACAGAAGTTCACTCCAGCAGACAGGAACAGGCCCCCTCACTGGCACTGTTTGACACCCGGCATGTTACAAGAGCTACAGATACTTCTCATTCAAAAAATCACTGAGCAGGGTCACATAAACATCAAATTTTACCTGAAACACGGAGATGGCACACACTGTCACTAGAATCACTATTCTGACATCCACTTTAGGTGCCAATCTCCTGCTGTAGTAGTGATAATAATGCCTGTAATACTCTTCAGGATGATCCAACATGTAGTCATAATCTTTACGTGTTTCTTCATCCTGCAGGATGAGACAAAAAAACATGCATAGGTTCAGATTCCTGTTTCACTTACTCTCTTACAGCTGTGTGTTACATCTCACTAATGACCACGCTGCTATAAAATTTGCAATAGACCGACTGAGTATGAAGCACAGAGGAAAATCTTTGGTCCTTTTCTCATGTTCTTAATTAATTTGTTCTCACACTCATCTGCCCACACGCATCAGACATATGTGGTCTTCAATGCATAAGCACACACTGCATGAAGACATTTAATACTGAAATAAAGACAGGCAACTGAAATACAAATAGTAAGTATTTTTAACTTCAGAATGGGAAATCCAGATGGACTAGAGTTAATAAATGTCACTCGGGAAAAGATTTTCAGATGAAGAACCTATTAAGAGATTGGTTTACAAATCTTTTAGAATTAGCTTACAGGGCTGTGGAATCTGTCCAACGGAAGGCCATTTCAAAAACTCATTGTTCTCATTTTCTCACAGTTTTTTCTCATTTTCGCTCATGTAATTAAAAGATGAGAAATTTAATTTTGTCACCTCAACTGCATTCCTTTCCTACCCACAAAAAAGTTCCCTTTTTTCTCCCTTTTCTCAGCCTTAAAGCACTTACAGGTTTCTTCCTTCCATGCCTGAGTTGCATTTTTGCCAAGCCACGCATATTTTGCCCTGATAAACCTCCCTTAGTGACTCCATATGCTACTCGACACACTGGTATTTTTTTGCTTAAAGGTACACCTCTAAGATAAAGCCTAGTCAGTTCATTTTAAATACAAAGGGATTTTCAAACAATTGTATCCCGCCCCCTGCACTCTTGGACTGGCTATTGAAGCAGGTTTTTTGGGGTTTTTTTTCCCCCTCTGTGGCTGCTGGTAGGAAGCAAGCCAGCTGAACCCACACAAAGGAATGCAAAGCCAAAGCTGCAGAGCCTGCCACGATGCACACATGTGTAAACCCGAGAGGCTCTGATCCTCCCCTGGCGAAGGGACACCTGTGAGGTGTGCACAGCCAAAGGCCAGCAGCATCCCAGTGCTTGAGCCGGATCTCTTCTGATGCACGCTTCAGAGGTGGATGCAGCAGAGGACCTGCAGTCGTCAAGCAAAATTTCATAGAACGGTTTGGGTTGGAAGGTACCTT